CTGTAAGTGGGGTGTTTGAAGTGGGGTACGGGGAAAGTTTGGATAAGTGAATGGAACCCTTACCTTGTTGGACTAGTGACCCTGAGAGACCAAGGACATTGCTCAATCCATTTGAGCTGGGACAGTTACTCGTGGGGAGTTATGAACTCTGTTCATGGTATTTTTGCAAGTTAATGCTATGTTACTTCTCTCTCTTTCATTAAAAGTTTCTTTTCTACACTCAGACTCTGTGCTTGCGAGTGAGGAAGCATTGCCTCTCAGAGGCACCCAGGGGTGTGTGAATTTCCTAGGCTACTGGGTGAGGGCTCGAGCTGGTTCTGTGTGAGATGGACCCCTGGATACTGAACCCGGCCCTGGTTGCTGCCAGTCCTATCCGGCAGAGGCGTTACATAGAGAAGTTCCTGAATGGAAAAGCAATATGAACATTGCTCTGGTTTATGCAGAACAGGCATACAATACACAGGGTTCAGTCCAGTGCTCACTGAAGTTAACCGAAAGAATCTCATTGGCTCCAGTGGGCTTTGGGTTAGGCCTACATTGTACTATCCTAACTGCAGTAAGCAAATAATAACCCAACTGTAAATATAACACAATCCTTAACTGCTGGAATGAAAGGATTCACAGCCCAGGCCCTAGGGTACATGGGTCATCTTTGAGTAATGGAGTCTAAAGTTTTGAGTACTTCTGTCACAATCCCGAAGTTCCTATTCAGCTATGGAATGGTACTTTCTCAGGCAAAATTCCCCTTGATGGCAATGGGGATTTTTGCCTGAGCAAAGCTTAAGGACTTCAAGATTTGGCTCAATGTGCTTAGGCAAATGTACCCGAGAAATGTTTGTCTAATCGATTACTAAGAAGCCAAATGTGGAAGTATGTGCTCAAACACTTCAGGAGATGGGAATATGCCGAAGCAAGTACAGAGTTAAAAATAAAGCACAGTGTTTAGGATTTAGCGCGAAGAAGGAAAATTGTGGTGAGGTAGTTCTCAAACATACAAAAGAGCATCCTTTGCCTCTTTTCAGTTTCTGGTAAGGAAATAATGCCTATTTTAGCAACACAGTCTGTGAAACATTTTCACTACATCCATTATAGTCATGCTGAGAAAAAGGACTGGAGTAGCATAGATATCAGTTACACGTGTGTTAGAGGGCACGTGGGAGTGGAAACCTTATAAATTATGTAAAAGTAGCATGAGGACTGAGAACATGAGAGGAAGCTTTCTCCTTGAAAAATCTTTGGATACACAGGCAGCTCAAGAAGAAAAGATGACTTTCTCAGACGCGATTTTTTTTTTTATCAAGGGTGCAAAATAAGGGTTCAAAACAAATCTCACTGCAAATCCAGAAGCAAGCCAAAGGGGAACCAAGTTTCAGAGAGTTATGTGAAATTTCTCAGTATCTTGGTAAGTCATTCCTTCCCAGCCTAGCCTCTCCAACAACAACAAATGTTATGCCAAAAACATAGATCCACAAGCTGAGCCATGGTGACTTGTTAGTTCATGATACCGGACTGAATATCCTTCAGATGACTGCTGAAACTGGATATACAAAGCCCAAGGATGCCAGTGAATCAAATTTAGATTGTCACATAGTGAAGAAATATTAAAAATCACCATCTATAAAAAGCCATTGCAAATGCCATCTTTCTTTTGGATGAACTTGCAAGAGTGGCTTATACAAAGCTGCCTGCTTAGGGCCTTCATAACAGTAGGACATTACTGGGTGATGTGGTAACTGTACGTACTGGAAGTTTCAAAATGTGGCAGCTATGAGCACTGAATGGCTTTCCCCTTTTGAACAGCATCAGATGAGTGTGAATAATCAACTGCATAATTATAAAGTTAGGAACAAAAATACTTGAACAGGTTCGCCCCTTCCAATCATAAAGAACATAACTGAATTAAAGTTGCCACATATTCAGAGGCTAAGATGGCTGTTTACCATCTTTACTATGGCTGAATCTGAATTTCCAGTTTCTGAATTTATTAAAAAGAAACATTTTCCCTGGTTTGAAGTCACATAATAAATGTGCACAGTTTAGGGAAAGTATTGGTGCCTCTGCTCATTTCTACAGACAATTGCCAACTAGACTGCAGTTTTTTGTAATTTGCAGTGAACACCTAAGCTTACTTACTACTAGTAAGCTGAACAGGGATGTACTTACTAAAACACAAACAACACACTACCAGCATCATGGTATAGCATTATGAGGATACCCTGGGCCAGCTCTGCTTCTGAACTAACCATGATATTGAACTTTAAATTCCAGTAACTAAAATACCACTTTAGCTGGCTCTGATTTGCACAAAGGCAGGTATACTGGATTGTAAATGCTCAGACCCTGTATATTTTATTACAGCGTGTGTGGGATACATATCAGTGCCCATGTGCGTGCTAGACCAGATTCTGCTCTCATACAGCTCAGGTCAGTGCAGTTACTGTGGATTTACCTCAGTGTAACAAAGCAGGACTTGGTTCTGCATGTCAATCCATCCCTGGTATAACTCTACTGATGTCAGTGGATTTATTCAGGATGAACATTTCCCTGGTAACGGCACACAGCTGCTCCCTATCTAAATATATTTCCACTGAAGTCAGTAGGTTTACACTGGTGAGAGAGAACAACTAGCCTGGAGCTCTCATCAGTGCTGGTCCAAAGTGCATTGGTGTGTTAGAGAGACATTCACCTCCTCTACCTTGGATCCCATGTTCGCTTGTCCCCAACCCACATTCGCTTGTCCCCAACCCACATTCATGTCTGTTTTCTCCTCAGCAAGGGTGACCCATTTTCAAACTGTAGGCCCATCTTAAAATAGCAGTTCATTAGATTTAATTAAAGATAAATCAGCAATGCCTGCTGGAACACATGTATTGAAATCTATTTAAATGCTGGAAATCTCTTTAAATAGAACCTTATTTTTGAAAGAGACCAGCTGTAATTTGTTTCTGCATAAAAGGCTTTATTCTTTTCCCATACAGCAAACACTAATAATGTTTTAGTTTCTCCAGAGACTATATGGATTAGAGCAAATGGAAAGTTACCATGACAACACCAGTCTTATTTTAGATGATAGAAATTCATGCCAAGTTAAACAAAGGACATGGACAAGAATGATTAATTTAATTTTGTTCTGATAGCCAGCAATAAACCCCAACTTCATTAAACTTGCAGAACAACAGAATTATAGTGAGAAGCTTTAAAATCCCAATCAAAATTAAAAGCAATAAAGCTAATGGGACAGAGACTCCTCTCACTGACACCAGTGACTACTTCAATGGAATTGCATCAGTGGGAAGGGAAAAGAGAATCTACAGTAGGGTCACGTTTTCAAAAGCGCAAAAGTGAATTAGGAGCCCAAATCTGACTGACTGTCAGGAAGACAATCTCTAAACCCTTAGGAGCATAAGTCTCACAGAAAGTCACTTTTGAAAATGGAAGTAGGCTCAGTAGTCACTTTGCCACTTCTGAAAATGTGATGCCTCATATTTTGATGAAAAAAGAGATGAAATACTTCTGGATGGTATAGAATTTTGCCCTGGTGACCATACTTAGTGACTGAAAGGTGGAAAAAAATAGCCCTTAATCACCAATGTACAAAACAAGCCTGCACTCTACTGAATGCAATTAGCTTTGGCTCACCTACGATTCCCTTGCTCTGTCAGGAGCATTAATGGGCTTGGGAGAACTGCACAGCCTGCTTTCCTCAGCTAGGTAGCTGCTTGTTGCAGTGCTGGACATTTCATGGCATTGAAACAAAAGGAGACCCCAATCATGTAACTACATACCCAACTTGTGCAACAATCTGTAGCTCACATTTTTGTTTTCAAACATAAATCAGGGACTAAGGCTGGGGTTTAGGATTCATTTAAACACAAACTAGTCTGTAACAATTACAAGGAGCCATTCCTTAAAATAATCTTAATGACTGCTTTAATTACACTATACAGTGGCTGCATTATGTCCAGGTACCAAAGGCATCTCCATCAGTGAGGATGCTGTCCAATTCTAATCACAATGACAATACCTTTCAATGCCTATAGATGATCATCTCTGAAGGATTCAGCACACCTTCTTCACACACACAAGCTGCCATGTGGCCTTGTCCATCTACAAACTAATCACATGAGAGCAGCACAAATGGGGAACCTGCTTATGTGGTTTGGCCACTGTGGTTTTTATTAGAGAGGGGGCTGAACAGTAAAACTCATCCAAACCCCTGAACTTCAGGGAGACTTCAGTCACAATTGATTGTGGCTCATATGGAATGCATCCCACTCAGTGCCTGTAAAGCACTTGGCATATTTAGGATATTATATAATCTCATATTTTAAAAATACTATAAAATCGATATTGCCTGTAGGGTTTTTTTTAAACTATAATAAGAAAAACCAATGACCTTGACAAGTGTATGAGATGATGTCACTGAAAAGTACCATCCATTCTTTATAGCATTTTGGCTCTTTTGGACCCATATCAAGGCTTAACTACAGTATTTCTGAACCTGAATACAAAGCAAAGACTCTGACCACAGTGGCCTAATTTTCAAATTTAGGTACTGAAATGTCTGCATCTAAATCTATTTAGGCATTTAAATCAAAGTGGCCTGATTTACAAGGTACTGAGAACTCGAAGCCATAGGTCCTAAACTAAGGACACTGAAGTGGTTTCTGTCTGGCTTAATAGCTCTTAGCACCCCTGTTATACAAATTGTTCCAGCCTCCCTGCTTCAAGTTACTGTTTAATTCCATGACAGCTGCTGATGCAGTGTCTCGAACTGGGGGCACTTTGATTTGGGTACCTAAATATGAATTTGTGCATCTAACTTTCAGGCAGCTAAGTCTGAACAGTTTTAAGCCTCTCCTTTAGCCAACAGTACACTATCACAAGGAACTTCCATTATAGGACCATCATACACTGCATCTATATGTAATTTTAAAACAAGCACTGTTGAATATCCACTAGTACACAGTATAGTTGCTGTTATTGCGAAGGCCACCTACCTTAACTCCAATAATGGATTTACGGTGATAAAAGCAGCAAAGAGCTGCTATTAGAGTTTGAAAAACATTACAATCCTTAGGCATTTTCAATCTCTGTCCTGTAGACCCTTTGGATTAAAAGAAAATTGTCACCTCCAGCAACATTCAGGAGTTATTCCTGAGCTCTTTTGCATTGCCCTCAGTCAGCCAGGGCTCATACAGTCCCCTCTTACTCTCACATCAGTCTAGGACTGTCTCCTTAGCTAATGCTGATACTATCAGTTCAGTGGCTTCTGGCATGCTAGCTTCCACTCTGCCATGTAGAGAGAGTGCCAGAATCCTCATGTGATCTATCGCACTCACCAATGAAATTCTAGCCCTCTGAGAAAGTGCTTCTATTTGGGTATCCCCTTAGATCAGAGTTGCAGCGTACAAATTATTAAGCCACTCGCTCAAGGCAGACTCTTCTTCTCATCAATATACAATACCTGAGTCATTCACTGCACTCCTAAAGATTTGATTGCTCACTCCAGCTGTCTCTCTTCAGTCACAGAGTATCTACATGTTACAGAAATAATTCAGTACACACAAATGATAAGGAGAGAGAGGGAGAATGGTTGCCTAGGGCTTGCATGACTCTGTTACTCTTCATAATCAAATAAAATGTTATATCCTTACAGTGTAGATAACCAAGGGAAATGTCAAATCTGTTCATTTTTCATTAGGAAGCTTTTAGCAGCCAGTCATAGGAAAACAATCGGGAGAAGCCAATTACATCAGCACAGTCATTATTAGCGTCATAGCTAATGCAACCTTTTGGAGTTTAATTAAGACCATCAGTAAACAGCCAGTGGCTGGTGCAGGTCCCACATAATTGGGCAAGCTGTTTGAAAGGAGAACATACAATGCAAGCTTGAAAACTCTTCAGCGTGAACATAAAATTAAACTTAGTCCACACAGAAAAGGAAGTAGTCATATTTACATATATGCTGCTCTTCTCTTGGAGAGCACAGTTCCATAGTGAGCCGGACAAGACTGTGGCTGCTAAAGCATTCACTTTCATCTATTTCTTTGAATCTCTTTTTGTAAGGGGGGGGGGAGGAGGAAAGCATTGCAGATTGGCTCTCTCAAAACCACTTATTTTGTATCCTTTGGTCATATCTCCTCCTAGGCTATGTCTACGCTGAAGGTTTTTTGCACAAGAACATTTGTTCTTGCGCAAAAACTTGCAGAACTTCTTTAATATCATCAATTCACAGACACTTACCTTCCTTCCTTCGCGCCTCCC